CTGGGATGACCCTAAGTTTGGTGCTGTCTGGTGTGAGTACCTGCAAACCTTGGAGGCAGCAAGAGCTGTCCCCAAAGAGGGGAGTCTGAGGTGAGTTCCTCCCGAAAGCCAGAAAAGCAGGGATCAAATTAAAACACAAAGCAGCAGCAAGAAAGCACGGTTCAATGTGAGTATCTGAACCAGTCTGGGACTAATTCCAAGAGCTAATTTAGTCTCCATTCCCCCTTGTCAAGATTCATTCCCTGCTGGGCCAGCAGCAAGTGGCAGAAGGCTTCCTTTCTCCACATCCCCATACTACCCTGAGTGTCATCCATGCTGTAGATAAACTGGTAGCACTAGAATAGCTGAAAGCTTTTCCTGTGATAATAGCTATTAATTTTCGTGGTTCTTATGAAAGGCAGGCTACCCCCACGGAAAAACGGTAGTAGATGTAATTTGTGATTCATGAAGCAATATCAAGAAAACGTCTGCGTTGCCTGCAGCTACATCTCTGAAATCTGAGGAGCTTGCAGTTAAAACAGCATACTTTCTAACAACCCAAGATGTTTCTGGTAAAGGTCCATACATACCTGGCTTTGATGGTATTGATATTGAGGGCACATTTGGTAGTGGTACTGTCTCGGGACCACTTATTTCCAGCAAGTTTTTGTCTAGTTCTTCTTGTTCTAGTTCCTCTAGTTCTGCCATGAGTTCATCCTAGATTTTTAAAGGAGGAAAAAAAAAAAAAAAAAGTCATATTTATTATTAAGTAGATTTAGCTGGTCATATTATTACGGAAAATAACTTAAACACGTAAGATAAGAGCAAACTGAGGAGATGAAGAGTCTGAATCTCCATGTGAATTCCTGTACATGGTCTCTTGGAAGGTGAGGAGGGTGGGGAAAGCAATGAAGAGAAGAAATCTAAGTCCAAACATTTTCAGATTAGCAATCCAGAGCATTCTCAGCATAAAGTCAGGGTTCCAACTGCTGTATGCACTGGTAGGAACAGCTAGTAACAAGTTCTAGGAGAGATTTTATATCCTAGTACTACACCTAGACACATGCAATATGCAGATCTTAAAAGAAAGATCTCGTATGAGTCACTATCCCTGAAGGTATTTAAAAGATGTGTAGACATGGCACTTAGTGATGTGGTTTAGTTGTGGACTTGGTGGCATTAGGTTAACGGTTGGACTCGATGATCTTAAGGGTCTTGTCCAACCTAAATGATTCTATGATATAAACAGAAGCAAATTTAAAGCATACCTCATCAAATTCTTCCCCAAATCCTACTGGTTTTGAGATGGCTGTTGAAATCTCATCTGCCAGCTCTTGCTGTTCTGCAATGTCCTGCATTAATTCATCTACTTTATCAATATCCCTGTAAAGGAAAGGAAAGAACTCAATATAATCACTTTCCCAATCAGCGCTTAAGACTGCATTTATTGGGTTTTGTAGAAATGCCACACCACGGTGACATTTTACAAGGTCCTTTCCCAAAACACACTTTGCATGCAAGTCTGAATTTTATCCCCCCCAGTCTCAACAAAATTATGCATCTATTTTTCACTTTTCTCTAAAAGCTCAGCTCACAGCCATTATATAGACAGACTTCATAGAAGAGGCTTTGTTCTGCATTACTGGTATTAATAACAATTTGCTCTGTTCCCTGATCCAGCATTATTACATTACATCTGGAATATTTTCTTTTGGAGCAAGTACAACATTCCCATAATGCAGTTTACCCTTAATTACTGCTACATACACAAACTCAACTGCACAGAAAGAAGTTTAAGTCTCCCCTTGAGGCTTAAAATTCTTGCTGCTACTAGGTGGATCTGTAACTGGTGCACCCTCCCATTTGCTTTAGACTACACTGGTGCTAGCCTTCTGTTGGGCAAAGGCAGCAGCTTTGTGCCGTATAAAATGGTGTCAAACAGAGAAAGCATTGATACTTGCATATTTTGTTCAATATGAAAGTACATCTAGTATTTTAGTTTAAGTTATAGCCCTTTAAAAGAAGGCTTTGCTACTCAAGCTCTACCTTTAGTTATGAAACACCTGGCATTTAGCAGATCAAACAAGTGACAAACTAAAGGTCCTACGGAAAGATGCAGAAGGGAGTAACTTACATGTTGTCATGAGCAGCTTTCATAGCTTTAGCAGCATAACCCATATTCTTAAGCACTTCAGTGTTAGTATTGGCATTCTCAAGGGCTTCCCTCTGAAATTCAATTGTTGATAACGTGCCATCTATCTGTGCAAGCTGCTTCTCGTACCTCTTCTTACGCTTCAGGGCCTGAAGAGCAGCTGAACAACAAAGAGAAGAGTGGGATTTGTGAGATTTATGTCCCAAACAGCCATTCACATTTTGTACCAAATGCCACTCAGTACAGAGCAACGTTTAACACCTCCTATTGTTTGTCATCTACTTTTCTTCCTAAACTGAGTTGCCTAGCCCTTTTGTTTGCCTCCTCCAACAAAATTATTTAAAAATGGCCAGATGCCTGCTGTCCATCCCTTGCCACGTGAAGGATGCAAGCAAGAAGCAACTCAGGGATCGGTAGTCCGGTCACTCGTAACACACCACAAACCAGAGACTATGCTACAACCAGCAGGCTTCAACATGCGAGGTGATTCCCTTAAAAACATCTTCGTTCACCATCACCCCCAACACATCAGGGCACAGTTGTTGGTGTAGCACCTGCTGGGAGGAGATACTTGTTCAAATACAAAGACAAATGTTTCTTCAGCTTTGTACTTAATGTTTTGAAATACACATTTGTACATATAGAGAAATATCTATACATAAACTTTGTGCCTGTTTCATATTACTCTTACTACAAGGTACTGTCCGCACAACAGCCTCTACTGATAGACATGAGAAGAGAGATGCCATTGCTTAAATTGGTTTGAGCAATTTGCTGTTCATAAGCACTTCTCCAATGCCTGCTCGTTGCAAGAGGAGCCCAGCCACGACAGCACCAACCCAGAGGTCCACACCCACAGGGAGCGTGGGAGGACTGGTCCAACTCGCTGCACAGCCGGGCTTCTCCAGCTCCTTCTGCAAGGCTCCGCTCCACCCCACCCACACAGGTATGCATTCAACGGGGGAACACAGTCAACAGCTAGCTCTTCCCGAGACACCCGGACACACAACGGACTGCTGCACAGTGAGCACAAACTACATTTATATAAAATCTTGCCTGTATGCAACTAAAAGTTTGGTAGGAGCTGCAGTGGGGACAAGACCTACCAAGCACTGAGCGCTGCCTGCTGACAAACAAACACCCAGTATCGCATGGAGTAAGACATGAGTACAGCTTCCCTTCACGGTATGTCTGCCTCCCCTCTTGATATGAGCAGACTTTGCTGTGTGAGTGTCTTGGTCATGTAACACACCCGTATACTTCAAAAACTCAGCTCAGACACAAGCTGCTGTCCTAACAGCCTTGTTCTCGATTTCTGAGCTCGGCCATGTGCACGCTGCACTTCTTCAGTGCTCTAATCTCTGACTCATAGCAGGAAACAGTTAACATGATACAGGATCAGCCCTGCTAAAAATCAATGCCCTGGACCTCCCAACAGATCAGTCAGTGCACCAGGAACGGTGGCACATAAAGGCTTTAAATCTTTAAGATGTTATTTCAAACCTTTGTGTCCTTGTTTACGATTCCACAGAAGACTGGGGGGGGATGATGTGGCAGACAAGGAGTAGGAAATCCCATCAGCAGACAGCTTCCCTTATCTCCCCTACTAGAGAGATGACAACTTTGTGACAGGATGAGTACATTCCTGCAACAAACGCAAAATAGCTCCTCTCATAAAAGTGGATTAAGCCTGCAGACACCCTGCGTATTTTGTCAGATCCCATCTTGAGAAGCTTGACAGTCCTTCAAGGTAACGTCCTGGCATCCAGAAGCCCTACATATACCTTCAGTTCTACAATTGGTTAGGAATATGCTGCATTTGATTACTTTCAAATTACACTAATGTATTCGAGAATAGAAAAGTACTTTGTGAAGTTAGAGCTAAGCTTGTCGAACACACAAAGTAGCACAGGCTGATTTAGAAGTGATCAAAACCATAAAAGCACAGGTCACCTCGACTGTTCCAACACAAGCCAAAGACCCAAACCAAGACCCTGCACTGATTTTTCACTCCAACAACCAGTGAATCACCCCGCTATTTTGGGGCCAGTCCAACATCCTTTTGCATCGACAGCAGCTTTTCGCTTGACAGGAATGGGAACAGGACCAGGTTTTCATGTAACACAAAGGACAATGTTTGCTCTGCAGAATCAAGCACAACACAAATATCACCTGAAATGTTCCAGCTTTATGCCAGATCATAAAGCGATGAGCAACATGACTGGTACATTTTGTCTGGTTAATTTTGTGCTAACGGTTTAATTAAGGATATATGAAGTTACCTTACTCGGAAAGATAAAATAGTTAATAGACTGTGTTTATATATAACGACAGATGCTGGGAAAGTGTCAGACAGCGATAGGACATTCTTTATTGAGGATTTTGTGCATCACAGAGAACTACTGGCAAAACCAGAGATTTTATAACCATTACACAAACCCAAGGAAAGTACTACAATTTACGTACGGTTCTCCACTATAGCTTTCTCTGACAATAGCTATGGTTTAGCTACATTTCATGCTTGTGGATTTTTTTAAAACAAGCTGCTCAAACGCCAAACATTGCAAGGATCATTGCAAGAGATCTTGTGATGAGCAGCGTTTATCAGGACTGTTGGGTAACCCTACCCCTCCTGTTCCCACGCATGCCAGTTCAGTGCACCAGAACCGTGCTCCCCAGCCTTCACTGTTTTGTAAATCCTTTCCTTAATTTCTCACTTGTCCGTACGCATCAAGGCTCTTGCTCTTACACGGCACACGATCTTCTAGCTTGCAGACCTGAACAGGGATCCCCCCACGAGACCTGGAAGACGCACACATCTCCCCCCGGGTGCAGGCTGCAGCTCTGCCACCTGCCCAGTTGCTGCCGAACCTCCTCAAGCTCCTGCTGTCTCAGCAAAGCACCGACCATGCTCAGATCTGCTACAGTCGGAAACCTGGCACCAGACCCCTCCCTAGAACAGAAATATAACCATGCTCGTTTTAAAACTTGCCTTTAAAGTGAAAACTTAAAATGGATTTGTGGTATTTTGTAGGAACGTTTCCAAATTCTTCAGACCAAGTGTGGCTAAGGAAGACGTTTATATTTTCCCCTCTCCTCCATAAGGCCAATGCAAGGACAAAGCTTCCCATGGCCACAGTGCCCACTTGTACCTACCTAGTAGGTACAGACTAGTAGAAATGCCTGTTTCAGTAGCCTAAAAGGAGCACAGACCAATACACAGCCCCAGCAACAAACACAGGGTCGTGCATAAAGCTTCTGTGCCTGGACAGTTCAGCATAAATATTTAACACAGGCCAATTAACATCAAAGTGATAACTGAGTTTCTGCAACGAAGAAAATCTTAAACAAGAAACTGAAATTTCTTGCAGCTAGAAGCACTGAGGAATGTAACACAAGGTATTCAGTGCCTCAAATCAGATGATCACAACTTGCTGCAATTTATTTTCGTGTGTGTTTCCTTGCCTAAGTATCTTTTAATGTAAAGTACTTGCTTATAAGATTTTATTAAGCTGAAAAATAAGAAAATACCAAGTTAATTTACATCACTCGCATTTATTTCACCCTGCAAGTTTTGGCAATTGATTTCCCATATTCCTCCCCCCTACCCCAGGAAAAGGATTTGAACTTTACATTCAGGATTCTCCTTGTTGGAATCAGCAGCGGAGCCCTTGCACAGTGCTCCTTTCACGGATGCTCCCAGCCATCCAGACACAAACGCAACTCGGAGCACGATGCTCTGTACCATGTTCCCGCCTGCCTGCCCTCTATAAAGGGTGATGGAGGCTGCTAGGGTCTGGTGCAGACCTTTCTAATCAGTATCCATCTCTGCCACAAAACCAGATAATTTCTCTGCATCTAATTTTATAAAAAGGTTAATAAAAATGCATTTTATTTCAAGAGAAATATTAAAATCATGTTTGTCTGTTTAAGACCATTACAGTTAAGTTGCTGTTCCCAACTTAAGTCCTCTATCAGGACTGATTTTCCAATTTTCAGATATTTCTGGAGGAGCACACCACATCAATACCCATGTCTCAGAGCTCAGAAGGAATTTCTAGAGTAAGGGTCCATTTGGAGGCAAAAATGAGAGCCAACTCGCTCCAACCTCTGCACAGGGGCAGAGGGACTTACCCAATCATGCACAGGCAAGGGGAAGAGCTTCAAACTCCTGCCTGAAATGCAGGACCAGAAACAGTCATTGCTAGCACAAATAATGGGTCTGCAAATTTTCCATATGTTGCTATAATATTTTATAGACCAGTGCTATCTGATGGACGTGTACATCCGAGAGGGTGTTTCTACTTCATCTCCACTCTATTTAGGTGTGCATTTCTGAAAAGTGATAAGCAGTTGTGCTGCTTTTTTCCTGCAAAAGTCTTTACTATCTGCATAAATGCCTACTGAAATCTTATGTACTGCCAGAGTAATACATTTTTATTTTCATTGAAGTCAAAGCTATAAATACTTAATCTGAAGGGAATGACATTGGCTCTTTTTCTTAAAAAAAAAAAAAAAAATCAGTTTCCAGAACTTGACATAAATATGAAAAAGAGACAGTAGCCTAGAAATACATCCTTTAGCATTATGCACATCCAAGAAATGTATGTGCATTTGAAGTCAACATGTAACACAACCCATCTCTGCTCTTCACAAAGACTGCTATCACATTAGGTAGCCATGGAAGAGGCAGGCCTCGGGACCCACACCCCTAATTATGACTTTACTGCTTCCAAGATAGTAATTACATAGGCAAGCAATGTCATTTAATACCCAGCCTTAACTGCTGTTGAACTGCTTCAGCAGGACCTGCAACCATATATTAAGTTTAAAGCATTTATTCTCTAACATAGCCAGACAGACGTCACTCACAACCCAGAATCTGTTGCTGGAGTGATCACCAGCACGTTTTTCTAGAAATGGCTAATATAAAAGTTTTCCAACAGTGTGATAATTTCCTTATCTTAGAGTAAAATGCTATACGAGATTACAAGATCACTGGACTAGACTCTCACAGCAGCTTCTGCAAAGTGCCTGATATTCCTAAAATCCCAGCCTGGTTTGGGCTGGAAGGGACCTCCCAGCCCATCCAGTCCCACCCCTGCCATGGGCAGGGACACCCTCCACTAGCCCAGGTTGCCCAAAGCCCCATCCAACCTGGCCTTGACCACTGCCAGGCAGTGGCAGCGTTTCAGAGGCTCAAAACAACTAAGAGCCGATGCTTGTTCTCACCATGTTGTGGCTGTGTATTTCTTACAGAAATAGCTGCCTTTATACATAATAAAGCACAGAAAGATCCTTACTACGATCTCTATGTGTTGCTAATTACTTAAGCACAGCTTGTAAGTCCGGTGCATTGCAGACAGTGAGCACGGAGCAAGGCGCAGCTCTCGCAGGATCGCTTGGCACGGTGTTACTCTTGCACAGAGCTGAAGGAAACCCTCTGTATAAAAACCTCCCCAGCTCCTAGGCACCAACTTGCAACGAAGGACACCAGAACAGGTACAGGGAAACAACAGGCAGTGTCCCTGACCAGCACTCCGGGTCCTGTGAGCAGCCTCCCCTCGGTGAGAAGTGACTTTCCACTGAAGTCGCTCAATAACACCAGAAGTTTCTCCTCCCAGAGCATCCCGCCTTTGGGTGGGGGTTCACTTACTCTTGAAATATCTCTATTACACATAAAAACAGTAGTACCAGTTCAAATCACTGGCTGGTTTAGGAGGAGATTTTTGTCCTGGGCCACCCCCTCCCTTTTTTCTCCACACTCTTTTTTTTTTTTTTTAGCTCAAACGTCCCATAGGTTGCACATGAGGAAGAGACAGTAGCTGCTAAACCATTTTACAAGAACAAACTGACAGATTACCCTCCTGACCTGCTAAACAGCCACAGACCAGAAAAAGCGATGCGAGAAAACTGTTGGTAGACTTAGAATTTACTATTAAAAAAAAAAAGTTTAACATTTAAGATACCCTTCACTTAATGAATCAATGCAGACCCAATGACAGGAAAAATATTTGATCATTACATGGGAAGTTCGCTTTCACAAGACGACAGCAAGAACCTGCCAATAAACACTCAGTATTTTAGACAACCTTTACAACCTGTACCTTATCCTTAACAGGTGCAGTGTGTGTTTTAACTTGTAAGTCCAATGTGCACGATGAATTACATGCACTTAAAATATCCTCTAAAAAAAGTAACAGCAGATAACAAAACTTAAGTTGTACTTTATTTGAATTTTAGTAAAGTTTTCAGCAGAATACATAAAATATGCACTAGGGAAAAAGCAGTTTTGTATATATGCTATTACAATTAAATTAAAGGTAATACATTTAAAACTAAGTGGGTGTCTCCCGTCATCCATTAGGAGACGGTGAGCAGACTCAAAATGATCTTCTCCATATGACATTTTGATATATTCATTGTCTTTATTATCAGCTATGACTGCGATGTTGGAGCCAATTTTTATTCATAAAGATTTTACCACAGAACTCTGACCAGTAAAAATTGATAGAAATAGTTTATGACCTCTTTGCCGTTGGCAAAGTAATATAAAATGTCTCAGTGTTAATAAGCATCAGCTTCTAATCTCTGCAGTACCTTTTTACACAGAAATTCTCACCAGAAAACATCAGCTTCCAGAAAGGAGGGCAAGTCCAGTAACACAGCAGCTGAGTCAAAAGCCGTTAGATCTGGACTGTCTGCTTCAATTACTTGAAGGTAAAAACATGTATAAGAGTACATTTAAAGAAAATTTTACAGCATTTTTAAGAACTCAAACTTTTTAATGCATGAAAAGCTATTCCTTCCTCTTTTTTTTTTTTTGGTGGTGGTGGGGTGTGTGTTTGTTGTCGGGAATTTTTTTTTATTTACTTACAGTCTTCAATTGATGAACTGCAGAATACTATTTTTAATTTCCTATTGATTTGAATTTCTGTGAGAGCACCCTGCTAGAAACTCCAGCAGAAGTTTTATACTTACCGTTTGACCACAGTGAATAACAAGAAGCCAAGGGTTTCATTATTATGCCTACCACGGCAGCACCCCGCCCTCCAACACAACTGATAAGCAGAAACTCGTGTTATGGTTTTATATAAGAAAATTATTATTATTAACAGAGCTGTTGTAAGTCTTAACATTTTCCTTGCAATATTTACAGCAGTTTGTTAGCAAAATAAGAAAAACGTTCACTGCGATAAGTTAGCAGGATAATGAAAATACAATTTTACTACGTAGTGCCGCATTCAGAGTGGAAAAATTGACTATGAACATGTCAGTGATCTCATTAAAAATCAACAGCTCTCCTGCAAATAAGTACTGCTTATACACTTGTAGGACAAGTAGTGTTAATGGGTTATTTATGCATACAGCAATTCTATTGAATTAATGCTTTTAGATATCATTAGTAGAAAAGTATAGATTAGTAGATAAAAAGCAAGGAAGAACTCAAGGCCTTTTTTTCTACATACTTGCAACTCCAAGTTTTGCTAGCAAAAACACGTCTCAACTCGAGAGGAGCAGGAGAACCAGTTACTTCAAAGAGCATGGGAAAAACTAGGAACATAATTCAAGAGTTTCACTGAATTCCAAGCCACACTTATATCAAGGTCCACGTGTTTGTGAACCCAGGGAATTTGTCTTGACTGGGGGCTCATGACACACACGGTTCCTGCCTACCCAACTCCTGCCTCTGCAAAAATCAGCTAAAAATCACACTGATACCTAAATTAGAAAGGCTTCTCATCCAGAGGAAGATACATGGGTTAATAGCTCTGATTACTCCAATTGAGGGGAAAAAGATAACTTAATCTCACATCTAATTCTTACATTCTCTCTGGCAAACAAGAAAAGCAATGGCAGCAGCAGAGATACCACTGCAGGAGGACATCAGCTGTATTAATATGGGATGAAAAAGTTCCACAGTAGCCTCAAAAATAGTGTACACCACGTCAGCCACGCCAAAACAAACAGTGCGAGATAGCTGCAGAGGAGCTTCCCAGGAGGGGGTCTCATGGCCCCTCAAGCAGAGAGCCCAGACACTAGAGATGATTGAGATAATCAGTTTAATAGTGGGTGACTGTCTTGCACATTATATTGTGTTTCCATCCATAAGTTGCTCAACAGAAAGAAGAGTCATTATTTTTGCTGTTTCTGAAAATACCATGGCATCTTCCTGGCGCTTGCCTCAGCAGCAAATTTAATCACGAATAACATCCTCAACGTCCTTGAAATAGGACAAACAAGAGGCACCAGTAGGTATAAGAAGTAATCCGCTGCCTTGCCTGCAGTGGAGTCCTAGAGCAGAATAGCTTAATCTTAGGCAGCAACTGCTCATGTCTCATTCTATTGAGAATTAGCAAACTGCCTACAATATCTCAAAAAAAATTCCTAAGAAGCAAAAAGGTAATTTAAAGCAATTCACAAATAGTCTCCAATGCTACAAGCAGATAAAAAGGTACATATAAATCCCACTAGTTTTACCAAACTTCTTTCACACCATTGAATTTAGCCATGAATAAATATCTTTCTGCAGGGATTTGCTAGCTCAAGAAACTGTTAACCAGCAGAAGAGTGTTCGTGAAGGTTCAAACCAAGCCCAGTGTAAAAGCATCCAGGGAATATCTTGCCACAACAGACCGGCAGCACGCACCAAGGAAGGCTCGTACCAGACGAGGTGAGCCTTACAAGATGCACACGCTGGTGTCTCTTACAACCACACACTGGTTTGGGTTGGAAGGGACCTCCCAG